GGGGGGGCTATCAGATGTGAGGGGGGAGAGGGTACCCCAGCCATTGCCTCCCAGGAGTGGGGTCTTCCCTGAAGCATCCGTTCCTGGGGAATGGGGAACCCTGACCTGTTTGCTCCAGCTGGGGAGCAGGATCTGTCCCCCAGCTATCCCTTCCTAGGGGACAGGATCCCCCCTGAATCATCCCTTCCTGGAGGACAGGGTCCCTCAAAAGCTGAACCTTCCTGGGGGACAGGATCCTCCCCTGAATTGTCCCTTCCTGGGGAAAAGGGTCCCCCCAGCTGTCCTTTCCCCCCCAGGCCATCGCTTCCTGGGGAACAGGGTCTCCCCCAAGCTGTGCCTTCCTAGGGTACAGGGTCCCCTCCAGCCATCCCTTCCTGGGGGATGGGGTCCTCACACCCTGGGTGCCACAGCTCTAAAATGTCTCTGCATCCCATGGCAGGCATTAGGGGGGTGTGTGTGTGTGTGTGTGTCCCTCTGCTTGTACCCAAGAGGGACAGGGATCCCCAGGTGACAACAGGGGTCCCCAGGGCCCAATGGGTCATCCCCGTGGGGCCAGGGCAAACATCCCAGCCTGTTCTCACCTCTGTCCCTGCAGCCATCCAGGAGTGGGTGCGTGCAGGGCCCCCCCCGGCAGCCCCATCCCAACTCCTCTCTGCCCTGGCTGACCTGCTGCTGGAGCAGATGGGTGGCTCCTCAGGTGTGGTGAGTGCAGGGTGAGAGGAGAAGGGGGTGGAGGGGGGTGCTTTGTCACCCTGTGGGGACTCCAGCTGTGTCCCCAGTGTGGCTAATGACAGGGCCGGTGTCCTGGCAGCTCTACGGGCTGTTCCTGACAGCAGCTGCCCGACCCCTGCTCGACCATGACGATCTCCCGACATGGGCCGATGCCATGGATGCCGGCATCGAAGCCATGAAGCGGTGAGTGCTGCAGGACCCCCGGGCCCTCCATGGGACCCCCTCAATCCCTCTCTAAAACTTTGCCAACCCCCCTGCATCCTGCGCAGGTACGGAGGAGCTGCGCCGGGAGACAGGACAATGGTGAGTGCTGGAATCCTGAGGGAACAAGGGCCAGAGCCACCTCGCTGCCTACTAGCCACGGAGAGGCTACTAGCCTGGCTGGCTCTAAGCCCCCTTTTATTTTTTTTTCACCCTGTCCCTCCCAGCTGGACTCACTGTGCGCAGCGGCACAGGCTCTGCACAGCCTGCGCAGCCCCGGCGCAACCCTTCTACCAGTGCTGGCCACTGCCGTGGAGGTACGGGGGGGTCAGCACAGCAAAGCCCAGATCGGGCAAAACAAAGCCATGCTGGCAGGGAAAACAGGGTGGGAATCGGGGTGCTGGGTAGCCCAGCTGCATCCTGAGTGTGCCCCATTTCTTCCTGGCAGAGCGCGGAGGCTGCAGCAGAGGCCACAAGGACCATGGAGGCTGGGGCGGGCAGAGCCAGTTACATCAGCTCAGCCCGGCTGCTGCAGCCCGACCCGGGGGCTGTGGCCGTGGCGGCCGTGCTGCGAGCTGTGCTGGATGGGCTACAGAGCTGAGGGGCAACTGGCCCTTGGGCACCCCCCTCTGTGGCTCCAGTGGTGACGAGGGACGTGGCAGCACGTCTCATGTACCCCCAATAAACGTTTGTGGTCCCGCTGAGCTGGTGCAGATAATCCATTGCCAGGAGAGGGGTGGGGCTTGTTGGGGGTTGCACCCTGTTCCTACAGGATGTGTCCCTACGGGAAAGGTGGGAACCAGCAGGTCCTATGCCCCAGCATGAGTGTGAGTGCTGGGGAGGAAGGAAGCTGCTGGTCTGGCCATGAGCTGTCCCCACTGGGTGTTGAGAGGGGAAACCACAGGGCTCACATGGCCCCAGGCACGGGGTTTGGAGGAAAAAGAACCAGGGGACGGCAAAAAAGAACCAAGGAACAAGCTAAAAGGACCAGGGGACGGCAAAAAAAGACCAGGGGACAAGGAAAAAGGACCAGGGGATGGCAAAAAAGGAAACGACCAGGGGACAAGGGAAAATGACTAGAGGATGGTGAAAAAGGACCAGGGTCCGGGGCAGAGCCTGCCCTGCAGCACAGGGTGGCCCCAAGCAGGGGGGAGCAGCCGGTGTGAGCCCAGGCTGCCAAGGGAGCTGGTGGCAGAGGGGAGGGTCTGTAGAGGCAAAGGCAGGCCCTGAGAAGGGAAGGGGACAGCCCTCAGGCAGCGTGTGTTGGCTCTCTCCCCTCTGGCTCCTGGCGCCCCTCCCTTGTCCCCAAGGATGTGGGTGCAGGAGCACTGCAGAAGCCAGTGGTTTATTACATGTCCATGAGGGCCCCGGGATGCTGCTCAGCTGGTCCCAGCCCCTGCGGGGTGGAGGGAGAGGCACAGGCAACCCGACGAAATGCAAGGCACGGTGCAAGGGTCCCCCTTCCAGCCCCGTCACCCCAAACTGGGTCCCCATGCCAGACAGGAGATGGTCCCAGGGTGGGGGGCAGTGGCGCTGGGTACACAGGTGTTCCTATGGCAGGTTGTGACCTGACGAGGCTCTGGCAACTGCAGGGCCCAGGGAGGGCAACAATTTGGCAAGGACTAAAGTCCAGGCGCAAGAGGCCAGCTGGACCCCGCTGGAGCTGGCAAGTGGAGGCATGAGGACACAGGCAGGAGCATCACGCTGCGGCTCCCTTCATCCTCCAGCAGGCAGGAGGCCAAGGCCAGGCCACAAAGAAGAGCAAAGAGATGTCCTCACCGCTGCTGGAAGGGAGCTGAGCCTGTTCCTCCTGCGGGCAGGTGAGCATCAGGCGCAGGCAGCGGGAGTCCCTGGCTGAGAGCAGGGCCGGCAGAGCAGGCAGGGAAGCAACGGGGTTGGAGAACGAGGGGCTGGCAGCCCCAGGAGGGCAGGAAGAGACCTCGGCTGCTGCAGCGGTGTCAGCGCTCGGCGGCGAGCAGGGGCTGCAGGGAGAGCACAGGTGAGCCCAATGCCTGCACCCACCCCAGGGACGGGCCAACTGAGGCTGTGGTGGGGGGCAAGACCCCTCACTCAGTTCCCCAAAGCCACCCCGTGACCCAGCGTGGCTCCACAGCAGAGCTAGTACCTGGCAAGAGTCTGGGGAGTCAGCGTCGGGGCGCTTCCAGCTCGGCCTGGCCAGGGCACCCAGCACTAGCACCCCAAAGAGGAGGATCAGGAGCCCCAATGTGTTGGCAAAGACAGCCTCGGTGGGCAGGCGCTTGTACTCCATCGTGCCGTTCTTCCTTGGGAGAAAAAGGGGCCAAGAGCTTTCCTGGATGTAGCCAGCCTTCCCTCAAGGCCACACAGCCCTGTCCCCACCCTGCAGCAAGGAGCTTTGCAGGTTAACCACGCACCTGGGGGGGAGGGATCGTTCACTTCCCTTTGCCTCTCCGTGCTCGGTTTCAGTCTGTGCCACTTCTGGCACTGAGAGATAACTACCCAAACCCCCCACCCCACCCCTGAGCCTCCCTCCCTGCAACGGCTCTCCCCACACCCGCCACGATGCTCACAGGCTGAAGAAGAGTTTCTCGTTGATGCCCGACACACACGAAGCCACTGACAGCATGAGGATGGTGGAACCAAAGAAGATGTGGATGGGCTTGTAGAGGGCCCGGAGCCAGGTGGGAGCCCAGGGCAGCAGGAAGGCGCTGAAACCAGCCAGCCACTGTGGGAAGAGGAGGTGAGGCCAAGGGGTATGGGAGGGGCTGGGGTGGGGAGGGGGCTGGAGAAGTGGAGAAGCACCCACCTGACAGGAGAAGAGCAAGACGGTGGCCAGCCCCAACCAGCTGTGCAGCGAGTACATGTTGGGCGTCCCGTTGTGGTTGTGGAAGCGAAAGACGGCCACTAACCCCAGCACGGCTAAGCCAAAGGCTACCAAGGCCAGGGTGCCATGTAGCACCTTCCAGGGGAGCTTGGGGCCACTCCAGGCAGGGGGCAGGCGGTACACCAGGGCCGCTGTTGGGTGAGAGGGTCAGGCAGGAAGCGTGCTGGGGCCGCGCCGCACCACAATCCCTGCTCACCTGTGCCGTACAGCACCACCATGCCCGTCACCATCAGCACCGGGTGCCAGTTGAACATCTGGGCGCTGCCATCCCAAGCGAAGCCGCCACGCCAGTGTTGGCACCAAGCGCTTACGAAGGCCACGCACACGAAGCCCAGGCCACCCAGGAGGACACAGAAAGGCAGGAAAGGGAGATCCAGCATCTCCACGATGGGATGGCGGCACCTGGGGAAGAATGAGATGCCTGCTCAGCCTCTGCTGGGGATCTCCACCCGCACCGGCACTCTCGCCTGTGTGCACACCCCCAGGGAGGAGTCAGATGGAAAGGGGAACCAGGCACCCTGAGGAGGGCTGGCCCTGGTCCAGCTGCTGCCTGGCTGGGGAAGGAGGCTAGGGCTAGAGCTGGCCAGCTGGAGCTGGGCAGGGTGAAACTGGCCCCTGCAGAGCCAGGTCACTGGGCAGCACCCCACTGCGTCGCCCTGGCACACTATGCCCAGGGGACATCATCAAGGGCCTCACGGGGAGGGGGTATGTGTCTTCTGTAACCCTGCACCCCCTCCCAGCCTCCCCTTCCTTGCCCCCAAGAATCCACTGATCTGACTGACCCCCTCCCTCCCTCTCACACATGCACTCTCTTCATCCCCCCAGCACCCTCAAACCTGCACCCCAGTCCCCCTTTCACCTCCCCACTGGCACCCGCACTCCTCAAATCGTCCCTCAGCTGCACGCACAGCACAGGGCTCACCCCAGCTGTGTGTGAGGCAGCACTCCTATGTCCCCCTGACCTGGACCTTAACAGCTGCTGCATCCCTGCTCCCTCCTGCCTTACCCCACCTGCTCCATGGGGGTCAGGGGGAACCTGCTGGCAACAACACCCCCACCCCACCCCTGCCTAGGCTGGGCGGTGGGACCAGCAAGGGCCTGCCCTCGGGGTGCTGCCCTCAGCCCAAGGGGCTTGAGCAGGTGACTGGCTGCGCTCATTTGCCTGGCGATTTGCATCTGCCTCCAAAAATAGATATTTATATCTCTTGGTGGGGTGGGGGATGGCCCTGTCCCTGCCCAGATCAGCTGCCCCATGGGACTGTGAGGCAGGAGGTGGGTGGAACACGGCCCTGGAGCAGCGTGGGGATCACGAGCTCAGCCACCCGCTTGCTCAAGGCTTTGTGCTGCTCGTCATGGCGCTGAGCAGCCCCACAGCTCCCCTGTGCCTGGGGATGTGGGGCCTGGCCCCACAGTTTCCCCACAGCTCCTCCAGACCTGGTGACACAGAGGCTGGCACCACAGGTCCCCCAATACCGGGAACATGGGGCCCAGCCCTACGGTTCCCCGAGTCTGGGGACACGGGGCCCGGCCCCGAGGCTCCCCCAATCCCGGAACACAGGTCCCCGCC